CTCTACACTACACTACTATACTCAACTCTACTCAACTTCATACTACTTTGCTCTATTAGAGTCAGTTTGAGTCCGTTTTAAGTGTTGTTTTAGTTTGTTTTACCGTATAGCACCGTATAGGTCTATTCGAGGTACGTCACTCTTCTCTACTCTACTCTACTATATACTACAACCATAGGGGGGGTGCACGCCCTTAAGCGTGCTTTTCGCCGCCTAGCACCCATAGCAGCTCATCAGAGGGGTTAGGTGTTAAGCTCCAATTAGCATAGGGGTAAGGGGGAATCTAATTAGGGGTTTGTAGGGAGTGCAACACATGCAAGTAGAGGATCGGATGCGAAGGATCCATACCTCAGAGGTCAGGGCTGGTGACGCACTCGTGTTAGCAGCCTCCATAGTTGAGCCCGTCAATGATAGGCCGAGAGATCAGCGGAGGTGTAAAGATCAGCTGCTGCGCAACGCGAAGCGAGGAGTGCGAGGCACAAAATTGCACCTAACCCGCAGAGGGCACCAGTACCATTTACCAGGTTGCGAGTGTGTACACAGTGAGAATGTCAAGGGCCAGTATTGTTGTTCGCAGCGTGGGTTGCGCAAGTATGCATGCGTGTATCGATGCGGATAGGCAAGCACAGGTAGGGAGTGGTATGAGGTTGCGGACGGATATAAGTAGAAAGGATAAGTAAGCCGGGTTAGGGGAGGGGGACATAAGGTGTATATTGGGATTAGGAGGGGACAACATGAAATGCATTAGCGTATACATCTCTTCAGGGGGAAGGCGATGGGTAGGAAGGAGGCAGTAGAATGGATCAGAGGGGATTGAATGGATCGCAAGGGGTTCTTGGGCTGGCGCTTGGATTGGTAGAGGGTACTATGTATGGCGGGATTAGTGTTTTGCAGTAAGTGTCAGTAGATGGCGCGGAGCCAGGTGTATGATATGTTTTTACAAGGCGACTATCTGTTGGTCGTGGCAATGTGTTGTCCGTCGCCTAGTGCCATGTTCTTGTAATGGCGGTATTCGAGTGGTAATGACAGTGCCACTTTGTGACGACATGGTGGTGGTGTTTCGTCTGTATGTCAGATTTCAACCCTTGCGGGTGTATATTGGGGGAGGGGGACGTAGGATGTATATTGGGATAATGGGGGACAAGCCGTGTTGTATTGGGGTATGCATCTTGCCAGGGGGCAGGCGATGGGTAGATAGGAGGCGGCAGAAAGGATCGAGGGTGGTTCATAGGCCGGGACTTGGATTGGAGCAGGTGCTTTGTGTAGCGGGATTAACATTCTGTGGGAGGTGCAATTTTGTGTTAGGAGCAGCGGAGCGAAGTGTACGCCATATTTTGAGGCGTCCTACTTTTTTTGTCTTTGCTTGGTGTTGACCGTAGCGAAGTGCCGTATTCTCGCTATGGCAGTATTCGTGTCGTCATGTCAGTACCACTTTGTCATGGCGTGGTGGTGGCGTTTCGTCTGCGTGTCGGAGTTTATCGTGTTGTCGCTATGTACAGAGTAGCTTTTTGCTTATGCCCAGCGTTCTCGTTTCTTTTTCTCGTCGTGTTTTTCAGTTTTTTTTTTTTAAATTGGGGGGTACATATTATGCGAAAGTGGGGGTTAGTATTGCTGTCATCCTAGACGTGTCACACTCATGGGGTTGCAAGGGAGGGTTCTAATTTATGTTGTTGCATTTTCCGGGAGGTTTGTGCTGTTTAATCTGGTATAGTAATGTATTTGTGAGGTTGTCAATTATTTTATTATACTATGCAATTTTTGCGGAGAAGCATAAAAAATGTTTTATAGCTATTATTTTAATATTGCTAGCTACGTTGCGACTCGTACTCACCCCCGTACGAGTACAAGTTGTACTCATTTCTTGTACGCTATTCGTACTCAAGGCCCGTACGACTTTTTTTTTTTTTTTTTACTGTTTTTATTTTTATTTCTCCAATTCTAATAAGAATCTGCAGATGGTGCTCAGGCAAATGTTGCTTGTTTTGGGATGTTACATCACATATATTTGTTTCGGATTTTTTGGATGAACTTTTTTTTTTTTTTTTTTTTTTTGTACGGGTCGTACGGGGGCGTACAGGTTCCCGTACAAATATTATCTGTACGTTTCGTACGGAAAGGCCCCGTACGTGTACGTTCGGTAACGTAGATTGCTAGAAAATAATCATTTTTAAGCAATATGATCTTAAATTGTTAATGACCTGATAATTGATACTAAAGCTTGTACTTTAATTTTTAATTTTTAATTTTTAATTATTATTATTATTTTTTAATTTTTTTTTAATTATTTCTTTTTTATTTTTTTTAATTATTTTTTATTTTATTATTTAATTATATTACGTTTATTTCTAGGCTACCAGAATGGCTTGGGATTACTTGCCCGGCCGGGCCAAAAACAATTAAAAAAATAAAAATAAAAAAATTATTTTTAAAATTTATTTTGTTTCCTAAATTTGGTACAGAATTTCGATGTGACTATGAGGCAAAAGTTGTTCAGTTTATTTTTCTGCATAACATAGTTTGTTTTCGGATTTGTTTGATTTTTTTTTATTTTATTTTTTTTTGCTGGGACCTTCCCTAGTCCTTGCACGGGCTGGCCACCAGGACCCGGACGGCCCGACTAGTAGCCTAGGTTTATTTTTTATTTTTTATTTTATTTTTTAATTTTAATTTTCTATTTTTTATTTTTTATTTAACTTTTAAGGAATTAAAAGTTATTATTAGTACTTATTTTAAATTTTAATTTTTATTAAAATTTTACTTTTTTTTTTTTTTTAATTTGTGTAAGTGTGTGTGTGTGTGTGTGTGTGTGCGCGCGTGCGCCGGGGAGGGGAGGGAGGACCCCTCCTCCACCAATCAATCAATCAATCAATCAATCTATCAATCAATCAATCGTTCAATCAATCAATCAATCAACCTATCAATCAATCAATCAATCAATCAATCAATCAATCAATCAATTGAAAAACCAATTAATCAACGATTTTTTTTTCTCCTTTTTTAATTTTTTTTGTCACACATCAAAAACCACCCCCCCAATTTTTTTTTATTTTTTTTGCATAGGCCGACAGCAGCCGACGTGCGCAGGCCGCACGCGCCGCCACCTGGCAGTGGCGCGGCCACGAAAAAACTCGGTCGCGCGGCCTAGGCCGCGGGCCCGCGACCGGCCTCCTCGGCCGCGGCCGAGTCGGAGGCGGCCGCGGCCTAGGGGCCCAATAGGGGGACACATAGCCTCCCATCAACTCGGTTGATGATGCGCGGAAGGAGGTGCTCGCAATCGTCATGGTAGTTAAACCACTAGTACCTTCGCCAGTGTTGGGAAATTACAATGTTTTGGTCTGTCCCTGAAGAAATTGGTGGTGGGACCCAGGGTTGGCGAATCCTATAAATCTTTGTTTTCTTTAACCCGCGCGTGAAAGAAAAAGGAAAAAAAAAAAACTTATGTACTGCAATGATGTCGGGCAGGGTAGTCCAGGAGGCAGTGCTCACAGTCTTCCTCTACAAAATGCATCCTAGAACAACGACGGTCACATTATGAAACTTTCTGTTTTCCTTTTTTATTTCTCGTTTGTTTATTATGAGTCCCCTGCCCACGAGGCAGGGCGGAATCCGTGGTCTGCGCTGGCTCTGTTTGTAGCGGACCCACCAGGTGTGGTGCTCCGCTAGTGGTGGAGATGGAGATGGAGGAAGAAGGGGGGAGCGAGATGGCACAATGCAGCTCCCCACACAAGACTCCAACGCACGTACTCCAAAAATGTGCAAGTGAAGAATGAGGACGAAACAGACAACTGCTGGGGTATACCCCAGCGGACTGACTGGACTGGACTGGACTGGCTGGTACCGACAGAGGTACCGGCCTAGACTGGACTGGACTGCCCCCGAATAGAACACAGGCCTGTGAGAACAGGCCAAAGGGCTGGTCTCACAGGCCAACCAGAGGTCCGCTACACGATCCTCCACCTGTGATGGATCGCCTAGATGCAAACACGCTTCCGCCAAGAAGCGGAACTCTACCAAAGAAAAAGAAAACCTGAGTAGTCTAGGATGCGGAGCAAGCTCCATGCTAAGTCCATGCGATGCAACCTAGGATAGAAAATGTCATAAAACAGCAATGTCACAGCTAACAGCCTAAGTGAAAGCAAAAACAACTAACTAGCATACATATCCTAGGAAAGCAAAAGCAACTAACTAGCATACATGTCCTAGGAAAGGAGAAAGTAGTGACAACTAGATCCTAGAATGTTGGAGGCAGTAGCCTCAGTCTGGGAACAGCTGACTAGTGTATAAGTCCTAAGAACAACAAAAGCAGAACAGCTAAATCCTAGAAATGTCAGAGGCAGTAGCCTCAGTCTGAGAGCAACAAAGCAACAACAAGTCAACCATATGTTACAGGAGAAGTGTGTCGCAAACCAAAGGGTGGGATGGTCTCTGAGGGTGGCGAATGCAGCCTAGGGGTCGAAAACTCCTAAGGGCATCCACACATAGTGACAGGGGGAAACACATGTCATCAGGCTCAATGAGGGTAGGGAACTGGGAGCAAACAGAACCAATGACCCTAACAGATAGACCATCAGGGCGGGTAATGCTCGACTAAGGGGTGACCGCTATGGAGGGTCAACCATGCAAGGGAACAAGGGAGCCTGGTATACTGGGCGCACCTAGATGAAGCATGCGGGGCTGCCTAACTAGGGCAGGGTCGGCGAAGGGTAGAAAGATGATGGGTAAGGGAATCATGCAAATGATTCCTAAAGTGAGGGAAGTCGGAGCTAGATCCGTAAGATGGGAAGCCAGGGCAACGCTATGGTCCTGATGCCTATACGTATACCAAGGGAGAGCCCAACTCAGAGGAACCCAGCTAAAGGGAGACCATCATGCGACACAAGCAGGGTACTGTACAGAATAAAGTGGTAAGAGAGTGGCGACGTCTGAAGTAGGCAGAGCTGATTGTGACGAGGTCCATGAAGCTGCCGATGACGTCCACGATGAGAAGTCCGGAATGCCGTCGAGGAAGAGCTGCAACGTCGACGAGCTGAAGTAGCAAAACTGATAAGGATGGAGTACTAAGAAGTCAAAGATGTGGGAAGGTAGGTCAGAGTCAATCCTCGTATCGAGCAGGACGGCGACGAGTGCGCTGTGGACGCTCAGAAGCATCCGGCTGCTGCTGAAGGTCTGCCTCAGATGGAGCAGGCTCGACTTCAGCGGTCTCCTCAGTCGGGGGAGAAGGAGGAGGGTCAGTGGGCTGAGGAGGAGCAGGGAACCCAGCACGACGAGCACGGTCATAGGCACGCACCAACATGCGAGTGTGCTGCAAGTGCTCGAGGGGCTCCCAGGTGGCCTCCTCATCACGGTAACCCTTCCAACGTACGAGATACTCGACGTGGGGAGGGTTGTCGTCGGTGACTCGGCGACCAATGATGTCTGAAACGAGGAACTTCTCGTGACCGTCCACCATGATGGGTGGAGGGCGCTCGTATGGTCGTCTAGCGAAACGCTCAGACGGTCTGTGGTAAGCACGCAGTAACGAGACGTGGTAGACATCGTGCACACGAGCCTGGCGTAGGTAGTCGGGCAACTTCACACGAAAGCTGACCGGGCTAGATGCCGTATTAGAACTGACGGCCTGGAGGATGCGGCATGGGCCAAAGAAGCGACGCCGAAAATTGTGAAGCGTGTCCGCTTCGAGCTGTAAGTGGCGGGCGTCGATAAGCACATCATCACCGACTTTGAATGGATGATCCATCCTCGATCGGTTCGCACGTGCTGCCATGCGAGTCTGGGAAGCGGCTATGTGCTCATGTGCGGTCTTCATRATAGACGTCATGTGTGCAACCCAATCATTCAGCGAGGGACAACTCGTGTCGGGGTGCAGCTGGGACGGTCGAAGGAAGTCCGCGGGAACACGCGGGTGATAGCCGAGGTCGCAATAGTAAGGCGACATCCCCGTGGCTAGCGAGACGACGTGGTTGTAGGCTATCTCCACGTAGGCAAGATGGAGATCCCACTGCTGGTCGTCACGAACAATCTTTCGGAGAATATCTCCGAGAGTCCTCCTCGTGATCTCGGTCTGACCATCAGTTTGAGGATGGTAAGACGAGGAGAAGCGGAGCTGAGTGTTGTACACCTCGTGGAGCCGTCGCCAGAATCGGCTGGTAAAGCACGGGTCACGATCATATATGATGCTCAGAGGTAAGCCGTGGTCACGCACGACTCCGTCAAATACGATGTCGGCGACCTCACGTGCACTGATGGCATAGCGGCACGAAACAAAGCATGCACGCTTCGTGAAGCGGTCGACGACGACCAGGATAGCATCATGACCGCGAGGGGTCGGAGGACGAAGAGGACTGATAAAGTCCATCGAGATGGACTGCCAACGACCCTCAGGGATARGAAGAGGYTGGAGCAAACCATAAGGTAGGTGGTTCGCAYTGTTCACCTCCTKWCAGGTGGGACACTCKGYGACSTAGTCCTTCACAAAGTCCTTGCGCTTCGGCCAGACGTACAGGCGGCTCACACGAGCCAACGTCTTGTGGAAGCCCATATGACCGGCGGCTGCCTGGTCATGGAACTCTGCTACTGCTCGGACACGTAGCTGTCCAGTGGAGGGAACACATATACGGGGCTCTCTAGTGCCCTGTGAACCGTGCCAGTACACAAGACCGTTGTCCCCGAGAGAGTAGTTCGGGACGGTCTTGCCACTCCGAAGGGTCGCGTGGATGTCGCAATAGTCGGGGCAGTGGCGGTACTGAGTGCGAAGCTCAAATTCACTGAGTGGTGGACGGTGGTGACCGAGATGGAAGAGAGCTGGATCTGCTCCTGGTCGTGGTCAGGGCGCCGGGATAGGGCATCTGCGACCCGATTAGTCTCACCCTTGATGTGCTCAGTGGTGAAACTAAACTCAGATAGGTCGCGCCACCAACGAGCCTTTCGAGGAGTGAGCTTCGGTTTTGTCAGAAAAGCCTCGACAACAGAGTTTTCCGTATGCACAATGAACAATGCCCCGTGCAGGTAGTGACAGGCAGTGCCGAGCGGCATAAACTACTGCGAAAACCTCATGTTCATCAGCGGTGTAGTTTATCTCGGCGGGCAGGAGCTGACGGGAGTAGAAGGCTATCGAACAATCACCTGAGCGAGACTCGACAGTTCCGTCCTCGACGATGGTAGAAGAATAGTCAATAGATGGCTCGTCAGTAGCTGGACGAGTAGGTGTCAGTCGGGAAGCAGTGGTAGGGATAGGTGGTGGGAAGCGAGGGATACGAGGATGAGAGGAATCCGGAGAGGAGGGGAAGACCTGAGAAAGCACTGCTCCTACAACAAAGTCTGACGCATCGGTGGTAAGGATAAAAGGGCGATCAAAATCGGGTAGGTGAAGAACCGGTGCGCATGTCACCGCCTTCTTGAGGGCGCGGAAGGCGTCCTCGTGGAGGGGTGTCCAAGCCCAGGGTGGGTTCTTCCGGAGAAGGGTGGAGGTAAGCACGTAGGAATACCTAGCGTATCCCCGGATGAAATTACTATAGTAGCTGGTCAGGCCTAGGAAGCTGCGAAGCTGCTTGGCGGATGTGGGGGTGGGCCACTCCGCAATAGCAGTGATCTTCGCGTCGTCCATGTGGAGACCCTGGTCAGACACGTAGTGTCCTAAGAAATCCACTTTGTGCTGGGCAAAGCGGCASTTGCTHAGCTTGGCGTAGAWGCCATGTCTSCGCAAGCGGTCAAGGATGTCGCGGAGGTGTCTGAGGTGCTCCTCAAGGGTACGACTATAGACCAGGATATCGTCGAGGTAGACGAGAACGTACTGCTCCAGGATTTCCCTGAAGATGTCGTTCATCGCCCTCTGGAAGGTAGCGGGTGCGTTGGTGAGGCCGAATGGCATCACCGCGAACTCGTAGTGGCCGAATTGCGATCGGAGCGCGGTCTTCGGCTGGTCGACTGCAGCGACGCAGATCTGATGGTAACCGCTACGAAGATCAATCTTCGTAAAGAAGCGGTTGCCTGCTAGGCGGTCGAACAACTTATTGAAACGAGGCATGGGGTAGTTGTTCTTAATCGTGTAGCGGTTGAGACCGCGGTAGTCGATGCAGAGACGAAGAGTTCCAAACCCTTTGCGAGCAAAGAGGACGGGTGCAACCCATGGGGAGTTGCTGGATTTAATGAAACCCAGTCTCAGGAGCTCCTCAAGCTGACGCTTGAGTTCGGTGGCCTCGGGGATCGAGAGTCTGTAGGGTGCCTGGTGGTGAACACGATAGTCAGGCATAAGCTGAATGGAGTGCTCGACGTCACGCATCGGTGGGATGCCGGCGTACAAGAATGACGATGGGAAAACGTCGTGGTACTCTCGGATGAGGTCACAAACTGCGGGCTCCAGGTCAGCCGTATATCGTGTGAGTTCCTCAGCGTCAGCGTCAGTGCGCGATAGCGGAGTGGACTCGACGGATGGCGGAAGGACGGAAGTAGAGATGGGAGCCATGGAGATAGGAGGATCTGGCTCCAGAGGGATGAGCTCGGCGTCGGGACATGGTGGATCATAGTGTAAGAGATCCGTCACGTTCACCATAAAGAAGGTGATGTCGTCCTGTCGGATGAAGTGGGCAAACTGTCGAGGCGAGGTGACAGTGATAGAAGGAGGTGGTGTGGGCACGGAAGGCTCCGGGGGAGGAGGATCGGGGCGTGGTGTCGCGGGGGTACCTATGAAAGGTACGCGATACGTCTGTCCACACTTCGTTTTGAGAACGAGAGTGTTGGTCGCCGAATCGTCCTCGGTGCTGCGGAACCGACGAGACCACGGAGTGTCGAGAATCAAGTCGTACCCCGTCTCCATCACATCAAAATATGCAGAGAAGCGGTGGCGACGAGACGCCGGGGAACGATCAGTCGGCTCGAGAGTGAGGAAGAAAGGGAGGTCGGTGACCGTCTGATCGAAGAAGCGCTGGGTCTTGTCGTCCCCTAGGGTGACAGAGATGGGAGACGGAGACCCGGTCGTAGGTAAGCGGGCTTCTTTCACCACACGGGGGTAAATGAAGTCGCCCTGAGAACCTGAATCCCACAGCGCTGAGTACACCCTCGTGGAGGTCCCCAATCGTACTCGGATGATCGGGAGGGTGCGATCACGGTCAGAGAGGATGGTGAGAAGGCGATGCAGGGCAGCGACATGGAGGGTGAGTCGCTCCTGACGAGCCAAGAGCATGCTCAAGTCCAGAAGAGAGGACACAACGTCCTCGCGAGTAGCGAGCTGCTGGTTGCAACGGGCTGAGCGAATCGCTCGACGCGTCGGTAGTCGCAGCGGGGAAGAAGGGGAGACGGTGGTCTGCGGAAACGCAGACGGTACTGCGACAGAGGGCTGAGTACACTCTGTCGAGTCCTGCGATACCTCAACTCCAGTAGCGAGAGGGGCGAACCGGGACGGAGATGTCGGAAAGCCCACTACTAAGGAGGGCGCAGGTGTACACTGCACCATGGCTAGGAGGCGCCGCGGGAATGCGAGGCGGTGAGGGGGGACGAAGCACGACGCTGGCGGGAAAGGTCAGCGTAGTGGCGGTCAAGCCCGGTGGTGTAAGGGCACCGCGAGGAGGTATAACCGTCCTGACGGCATCGCAAACACCCACGTGGGCCCATAATAGCCGCGCGCTCCTCAGCGGAAAGGACACCTCGAGGAGGAACAAAGCCCTGAAGGAGGTCCTGCTGAGGGACCTTGGGGGGCGACGCGACAGCGTGACCAGGGCGGCTGCATGCCCGGGAAAGGGTGGAGAGGATAAGTTGGAGGCGCTCAGCCATAGGGAAAGTAGGGTCCTCCAGATGGTGCTGGACGGCATCGCCGAGGTCGAGGTCATCGCTATGATCACCCTCTGGCGACAGCGGGGCACCAGCGTCCTGCTCACCATACTCGAGCGCGCTGAAGCAGCGCGAGAAGTGGCGGCCCTGCTGCGCGGAACGGCGGGGGCGACCGAGGAAAGGGGAACGACGCTGGGAAGTGTCGTGAGAGGAGGAGGAGGCGTAGCCCGTGCGCTGAGGCTGGGAGGGGGAGGCGGGGTGAAGACGGGCTCGCATCCGCTGGTGGTCCCTGGCGGCCTCGTAAGCGTGCGGGGCCGATGTGAACCCGTACCGCCATAGCTCAGAGCGTTACTCGAGTGGAAGGCTGGCCAAAAAACGGTCGATAAAGGCAGCCTCGAGGAGGAACGTCACGTCACAAGTGAGGCGGGCGTCTTGAAAGACGTGGATGTGGCGATCGAGAGCGGCAGCGCCACCAGAGCCGGACCAGCGTGTAATGATGACACGCTCGAAGGCGTCAGTCACGTTGTATCGGGCTCCGAAGCGATCCTCGAGGAATGCCTGGAAATACATGAAGGTCGGGGTCCGACCCTCATGAAGGGAGTACGCGTAGAAATCCTCCCAGGCCTCGAAAGGACCGCCACGTAGGCGCGTGGAGAGGTGACCCACCCACGTGTCGGGTGTGGCGCCCATGAGCTGGAGCGTGCGGGTGGCAGACTGCAGCCACCTAGACACGCGTATGCCTGTACCGTCATACAAGGCAATGTCCGACAAGCGGATGAGTGGTGCGCCACCGTTTTGGCGGCGAGGGGGACGGGAAGCAGGGGACTGCGCTACGGCGGGATAAGTCGGCGCAGGTCCTGGAGGAGGAGGCGCAGCTGACTGTACGCCCGGGCCRCATGGTGGAGCGGCGGGGGAAACGGCGGCAGGCTGCACGGGAGCTACGGTAGAAGAGGTCGCAGCAACCGAGGGGATGGGGAGGAGGTAGGATGGGGATGGGTAGGGTGCAGGGCGAGAGAAGCGAGCCTGCATGGAAGGAAGAATAGAGGAAGAAGGGGGTGCGCCGGAAGGCGCGGCCACCTGTGATGGTGGGGGTGGCTGAAGGCGTGAGAGGGCGAGGTCGGTCCGGAGCAGGGCGATCTCGTCCTCGAGACCTCGAACGTAGGTCGAGCTAGGTGTGGCAGGGGGAGACGCACGAGCGGCACGAGGCATCCCACAAGGGGTAGAGCCAGGTGGTGCTGCGGTCGTGCGAAGAGGAGGGAGAAGTGGGGCACTCGGAAAAGCTGCGACCATGGTAGCGGGTTGTGGTACCGTGGCCGGAGTGACCGGGGTCTGGGCAGGTGCGCCCGTAGACTGAGGGAGGACCTGACTCATGGCGGCCGTCGTGCTAAGGGTGTGGACGTTCACCAAGATGGCCGGGTCGGGGGCGGCGGAGGAGGAAGCTCCGCCGTGGCCACCCTTTCGGAGGACGGGGGACCCGGACTGGGAGCCAGGAGATGGAGGACACGCAGCATCCTGGAGTTGCTGCACGCCGGCGGCAAGGGTCGCTACCTGCGCCTGTAAGGGCCCGAGGGTCGCGAGTTGCGCCTGGATGGGCGCAAGGGTCGCGAGTTGCGCCTGGGTAGGCGCAAGGAGGGAGGTGAGGAGGGTGTGCAGATCCCCCTGGGACTGGTGGCCCTGGTCCGTCGGCAGAGGTGTGGAGCCCTGTGCCGTGGTCGTCGCCGCGTCGGCGGCATGTGACACGCCGTCGGCCATGGGAAGGTGACGGGCCAGACTGGAGGGGGTCAGGAGAGGTCCGCATGAGCGGAGGGCGTAGGGGGGAGTCCGCGGTAGAAAGCGGCGGACGGCGCTAGCAAGGCTAGCGCGGGCGCCGTCAAAGGGAGAGGGGTTGTTCGGGTCCAGGGTGCCCGAAGAGGAAGGGGAAGTAGGGGGGGGTTTAAGAACCCTAAACCCTAGAAAACTCTAAGAAAACCCTAACCGAAGTTTAAGTGGTTAGGGAAGGGGACCGGTGATCTAATAAAAATAAAATAAAATAGCAAGCATAGGGGGGGGGAGGCGGGACAAAACTAAATAAAAAGCGAGATTTTAAGAGAAAAACAAAGGAAAATAGATAATAAAAATAATTAAGAGAAGAAGTAAACAAAATGTGAATAGAAAAATAATATTTATTTTTTTGAAATTTTCGGCAGCATTTCCCTACCCCTCATGGGGTCAAGAATGTGCCAAGAGGAAAGGAGAGATCAAGGTGAGCACACTAGGTTTCCAGATGCCGGAATTAAAAAAAAAAAAAATCAAAAAATAAATAAATAAATAAATAAATAAGTAAATAAGTGGATGAGGAGGTGGGGAGAAATGGATTATCTGATTTTTCAAAAATTTTGGCAGCATTTCTTTACCCCCATGGGGTCGAAGTGTGCCGAAGAGACTAAGTACGAGAGAATCAACAAATTTCGGCAACACTTCTTTACCCCCACGGGGTCAAAACGTGTGCCGAAAGCAAGAGAGACTACCACCTAATCACATTTAGGGTTGCCGTCCAGAAATTCTAATTTTCAGAATTAAAAAATAAATAAAAAAAATAAATGAGGAAATAAGAAAAGAAGGTGGGGGAGAAGATAATTCGAATTTTTGGAAAGAAAAAAAAAAAAAAAGATAAATAAAAAGAGAAATAAAAAGAAGAAAAACAGAAAAATTCGAAGTAGAGGGGAAGGAGAATGAAAAAGTGAAGGAGAAAAGAAAGAAATAGGTGGGGGAGAGAAAAAGATGAAGTGGGAGGTGGGGGGATGATGTGGTGGTAGTTGGGGGAGAAGAGGGTTGGGGAAAGGTGGAGAGGGATCAAGAAGAAAGGAGAAACGAAGGAGGAAAAAAAAGAAAAGAAATAAAGAAAGGAGGGTAAAAGAATGGGTGGTGGGAGAAAGGTGGGGTGGGGAAGGTAAAAGGAGGAGAGAAAAGATGCAGTAGAAGGGGGGGGAAAGAGAAGGGGTGAGTAAGAGGAGAGAGGAGACAGATGGAGAGTGGGTTAGTAGAGGAGGGGGGGAGAGAGAAAAGATACCTGGCCCTTGGTGTCTCCAAGGGCAAAAGGTACACCAAGACCAGGAGGGTCTTGGCCAGCTGGAGGAGGGAGGGGGGCTGAGATCTTGATCAACCCCTACTGCAAATCTCCAGATCTAGGGTATGTTGTGTGAGCATACCCTCACCGGTGTAGAGCAGCCCCTGAAACACAGGGGGTCTTCAAGTCCATAGCAAAGTGCCACGTGGCACTGCAGGTTGCCACGTGCACAGGCAGCATCAGCCACAGGGAGGGCAGCCTCTCCCGTCGCTGCCTTGCTGGCCGCTGCTCGCTGCTCGGGGGGGGGGGGGGAGGGGTAAATAGCCAGCACTGCACCTCTTCAACACGAGCGTGCCGTGCTACAAGGCTATAGACACTTTGTGGCGAGTGTGTTATGGCAGTGGTATACACACGCGCAAGGCCGGCAGGTGCCTGGGTTCAAACCCTAGCAGCAGCAGTTGCATCTCGAATCTTGATAATATAAATCTGAGAGCGGGGCGGGGCAACGGGGGCACGTGGCGCGGGCGTGTGCATGTGCGGCGGCCGGCCTTGGCCTTGGTGGCACTTCTTTTTCCCGCTTTTTCGCCCGAAAACGCCTGGAAAACAACCAAAAAACCGATTGTCGAGTTTTGCTGTTTTTCCCTGCTGTGCGGTGTGGTGGGTGGGAGCGGGGAACGTTCCCGCTCCGATACCAATGTAGCGGACCCACTAGGTGTGGTGCTCCGCTAGTGGTAGAGATGGAGATGGAGGAAGAAAGGGGGAGCGAGATGGCACAACACAGCTCCCCACGCAAGACTCCAACGCACGTACTCCAAAAATGTGCAAGTGAAGAATGAGGACGAAACAGACAACTGCTGGGGTATACCCCAGCGGATTGACTGGACCGGACTGGACTGGCTGGTACCGACAGAGGTACCGGCCTCGACTGGACTGGACTGCCTCGAATAGAACACAGGCCTGTGAGAACAAGCCAAGGGGCTGGACTCACAGGCCAACCAGAGGTCCGCTACAGTGTTTCCTCAGAGGATTGTAATCCTGATGTATCCACCCATTTTCACAGCCGAATGCGTGTTTCCGTTTCTTTTTTTTTTTCCTTCTGTTTCTGGAATCTGACAATCTAAATCTGTAATCTGCTCGGGCTGTGTTCCCTCAGAGGGTTGTAATCCTCATCAAACTGGCACTTAGAGGAACTTATCCAGCCATTTTCATGGCCGAATATGTGTTTCTGTTTTTTTTTTTTTTTTTTTTTTTTTTTTGGAATCGGACAACCTGGCCATAGGGTTGAGATGCCCTCACTGAGAGCATACTCACACTACCACTTCCAAGAATGTATACAACTGCAATCATGGCCAAAGCATTGTTTCCTTTTCTTTTTTTGTAAGTTTCACGACCGCAACTTTTCTATTATTTTTTCCTTTTTTTTTTCTCCACGTGAGAGTACCATAAAGAAATGGAGTGGGACCCAGGCTCGACAAACTCGGAGCGCAGTGAAATTCAGGGTCGACAAGAACGGGCTCGAAGGTACTAGTGGTTTAAGCGTTGACGACACTTCCTCCTCAGGTGTCGTAGGTTCACTTGGGCAACAAATAACAACCCATTGACCTACTACAAGACACAAGCCACGGTGAGTAGCACGATCGCTCGGTGGATGTACTTCATCGACCAATTTGACTTACACCGAAGCACATTTCAGGTCTCTCAAGCCGAGCCGCGAATGCTTTCTTGCGACGATCAGATTTTTGCGCAGCAATCCATCATGCGTTCGACTTCGACGATGACCTGCATCAACATTTCGTACGCTCATACAAGTCGGATCGGATTCCGGAATACGCCACTCTCTACGAGCAACTTTCTTCGGATCACCTGTTGGCCAACCACTATCGCATCACTGACGACTACTTGCTTCTCCATTCACAAGGCAAAGACTTACTATGTGTCCCATGAGACCATCAACTACGGACTCACTTTCTTGGCGAGTACCACGACTTGCGACTCGCCGGCCACTTCGGAGTCAACCGTACGATCCCAAGACTTCGACAATGATTCCGGTGGCCCGACCTCATTACCGACATCACCTCGTATTGCGAATCTTGCGAAATTTGTCGACGAAGCAAACCCCGCAACTGCAACCCCTACGGCGAGTTGCACCTGTTGCCTATCCCTCGGGAACCCGGCCTCGTCATTGCTATGGATGTCACCGTCCCATTCCCCCACGATCATTTTTGGCAGGACGACATTTTCACGGCCGTTGACAGTTTGAGTAAGTACAAGCGAATTGAAGCGATTCCTTCCCTGCAAGTATCACACCACGACTCCAAAGCTTGTGCGACTGGATGCGCAGCAACGACGACCCGGAGAATATCGTCAACGACTGCGACACTCGCTTCATGTCGGCATTTTTGACTTCTCTCATGAAGGAGTCCGGCACCGAGATGAAACTGAGTTCGACTCGGTATCCACAAACGAACGGGCAAAGAGAGCGGGCACATTAAACCAGTGCCGTACCCCCGTTCACCGTTCGAGGGTCCGTGAACGAAGTTCGGTCACTGGTCATGAAAATCGTGACCGGTTGTAGTTCAAGGAGTTCACATAGAGCGAGAAAGTTTTTTTTTTTTTTGACCCTTTTTTTTTTTTTTTTTTAAAGGRGGGKGGGGCCCGTGGGGGTCATCGGRGGGTACCCCTCCATAATTTTTTCGCTTTTTTTCACRAAAAAAAAAAAAAAACGGACTCAGCCAAAATAAGCATTTTTGTTTTTTTGTGTTGTAGATTGTTTCAATTTTTTTTTCTTTTCAATGTCATCACGATGTCGGGCTTCTAGAGATGGTCCGACGGCAGCGGGGTGAGCCGAAAAAAAAAAAGAAAAAAAAAACACCGCTCTTTCATGGTTTGGCCGTTCACGGGCGCAGAGGCATATGACCGCCCGGTCACGTTCACGGTGACGGCACTGCATCAAACCACTCAAATGATGCTCCGTACGCTAATCCATCCAGACCAAAAGGATTGGGTTGACCGTCTCCCTGACATCGAATTCGCCTACTGTAACAACACTTCGTTGCATCCGGCAATCGACGTGACTCCATTCGAGTTGCACCACGCCGTGACACAGTGGTCGGAAAGGCCGTATCTTCGCTGATCTCTTACGTCCACGGACTGTTGACATTGATGCCCCTTTCTCTCCCACCTCCGTTCGAAAGTACCGGGAATTGCTGGCACAAGCCCGCGCAAACATGCAAAAGGCTCAAGTCCACATGCAGCAGCAAGCCAATCGGTGTCACGTGCTATGTCCTATCCGCGCCGGCAACCTTGTTTGGGTCTCCGCGGAAGAGTTTGAGCTCGAACAAAACGTTTCGCGCAAGCTACTCCCTAAGTGGTTTGAACCTTGGACCGTCACATCAGCCGCGGGCGACGAGCCCGATGGCCCATCATTTGTGATCGAAATCCCCCTGCATCTAACGGTCCACCCAGTATTTCACGCCTCCAAGCTGGCTACGTATACACCAGCCAAGAGCGACGACTTCTCGGGCCAGAGAGAGAGAGAGAGAGAGAGAGAGAGAGAGAGAGAGAGAGAGAGAGAGAGAGAGAGAGAGAGAGAGAGAGAGAGAGAGAGAGAGACATTGGGATTTGGTGAGATTCGGCTTCAGACTTGACATTTGGGCAGAGACATTGTTGGGGACTATTTTTGGATCGGTATCGACGACATTTTGGGTTGACGACATCTTGCATGATCCATCTCCTCCCCCCTTCATCTCTCCTCCCTCCTCCTCATCTGTGTATGATACGGCCTGGCGCCCTCGTCTGTGTTCGGCGCCAGGCTATTCACAACCGGTGATGATGATGATGATGATGATAATGATGATGATGATGTTCAGTCTGTGTCACGACATTGATTGGGTCTGGTTGTTGGTATTTCAGTCTTCCGCTGCGCTATCATTGCTCCATGTTTGAGAGGTCGGTTCTTGGTTGCTCCATGTTTGAGAGGTCCGTTCTTGGTTCTGGTCTGCGCCATTTGGCATGCGACACACTAGGACCTTTTTGACTCAGCTCTGGGAGTGATTGCAGTCAGGTGCTTCCAGGTCTGCCCCTGAGTGTGGTGTATGCATGTAAACAAGTGCTCCTGTGAGTATGCCCCGAGACTCGAACAGACACTGTATACATGTGCCGCTGCTGCTGCTGCAGTGTGCTACGGGCTGATCAAAATCGCTGTGGATACTGTGCGACACTCTGGTGCCAGATCGTTGTCCTTGCACAAATGTTTGTGACATCCTCTAGGTCATAACTCTTATCCTTATCCTTATTCAAGGCTGTGAGTCACTTCGCGACGCTCTGCAGGATTCGAACTCTTGATGTATATTTATCAAGGATTCGAACTCGTGCTCTATATTTATCAACAGCCATATCTTCGCACCGTCCAGCCACACCTGTGCGACTGTGGGGCTCGTTCCACTACCTCGACTTGAGAAAATCTCAAGGGGGGGGGCTCTTCCACTACACCCTTGAGATTCACTGATCACATTGAAAAGCGATTAACTTTCCCGCCATAATAAAATCCGGCTCCGAAAGTGAAGACCGGCTGTAGGGCGCCCAGGCAAACCGGGCCAATTTTCGAGTCACCTCCCAGGGGTGAGTCCAATTTCCTTGAAAAGGGGCACCAGCGCCCGAGTTTTCTTTTTTTTGCCCCCCCCCGATTACAGTTGTCCTGGGCCAATGACCGACTCGTTTTTCTGAGCACTAACTGGAGGGTGTAGCGTTAACTGTAGGGTAACTGTAGGGTGTAGTGGAACAAGACGGAAGTCTAGGATTTTGAATGACGATCGGGCTCAAGCGGGGGTGTACGGCCATCCTTGAGATTTTTCTCAAGTCAAGGGTAGTGGAACGAGGCCCATTGTCCTTCTCCGAGGCCGGGTACATGGGAAAGTCCCAACGCTTTGCAGGATTGGAACTCGTGATCTATATTTAGCAATAGCCATATCTGTGCGCCATCAAGCCACACCTGTGCGACATTGTCCTTCTCCGAGGAGGCCGGGTACATGGGACGTGTGATCTAGATCAGCTACATAACATTCTAAATCATTGTATCTGGAACGGGAAATGGGCCCTATACCTTCAAAACGTTCGATCACACGGAATGTATACATATATTTGTGACAATATATATATATGCATATATTGTCCATGAGGCAGTCCATAGATAAGTGTCCACTGTTGAGTAGTGGGGCGAGGCCCATGGACTTCGCCGAGGAGGATCTCGGGCGGGAACTTGTCTGTCGTGTGCGACCTTGTACGCGACGCTGTCGTCGCTGCATCGCTGCATGAAGGCTCAAAGTACCAGGTCATCCCCCGTCCCCCCCGGGAGCATGGTCCCACTAGCAACGGGGATTGGATTAAGATCCGGAATCTGGGCGTGTTTTAGGCAGAGATGCAGAAAAGGAGTTCAATCTCGATTTTCCGCACTTGTCCACAAACGCGGCCAGACTCAGGCGTTCAATCCAATCCTCTTTGCTAGTGGGAGCTCGCCTCGGGTTTCGAACTAATCATCTGTTTCTCAGCAGCATCCACCGTGGCATGTGCCTACAACTCAGCCACCAGGCAGGGTACATGGGAAATTGTCTTCGTCGAGGAGGGTCTCGAATGAGAATCACTTGTCTGTAGTGCGACATTGCAGCGTCGAGGAGGGTGTCCAATGAGAATCACGTGTCTGTAGTATGCGACATTGCAGAACAGTGTACGACACTGTCATGGCTGCATGAAGGCTCTGAGCCACAGCTGTGGGACGTTGTCCTCCGCAGGGTTTGAGCTCATGACCTGTTTGTCAGCAGCTACCACATATGTGGCACTGTATCATTCCGCCACCAGGCCGGGTACATGGAACATTGTCTTCGCGGCAGAGGTGGGTCTCGGGTGAGAATCACTTCCCTGTGGTGTGCGACACTGCGGCCTGTGTGCGACGCCGCTGCCAACTCTGCATGATACTGCTGGCCTTGCGGCAGCTTCGAGCTTCGCGATTGTCTGCCTGCCTGAGGGGCGGCAATGACTCGGAGTGTGTCGCACAACCGCCGCCCAATGAACATGCCTAGCTCTGGTGTGAAGCTGTCCTGCTCGGGCAACGGTGGAGGGCTAGGGATAAGGAGGTCCCGCCGCCTAAGGTCCTCCGCCTCCTTCTCCTCCTCCTTGACTCCTATCGTGGTGCTGTTAATGGTGATCATCTGCTGTCTGCAGCTGGTGGAATACGCCTCCTCGGCGAGGTCGCCAAAGGAGACTGAAGACGACCCTATTACGGAGCAAGAAGAGGTCCCCATTAAGGAGCAAGAAGAAGAGGTCCCCATTACGGAGCAAGAAGAAAAGGTCCCCATTAAGGAGCAAGAAGACGTCCTGAAGGAGGAGGAGGAGGAGGAGCCAGTTAAGGTGCAGTACATTAAACCCGTTGAACCGAGTGAAGAGGTCCCGGAGGACCATGACAAGCACCGGTCAAAGGGAGGGCATCAAGCCCCTCCACCGAAACAGCACAAGGCTGCCATCGCTCAAGAAACGGGGACGGCGAATGCGACTGCTGCGGGGGAGGAACACCCCAGTTTTAAACCCCCTTTAAAGTTTAAGGACCCCCAAAGTAACCTGACAGATGATGAAGAGCCGGACTATGGAGAGGGTAACACGAACAACACCACCCCTCCCCCTTATTGGGATGGCACCAGTCGCCGCCCACCGCCACCAGATTCGAACGGTGGAGCGACCCCTCCCCCCATCTGGAATTGCCCGAATATGTCCGCCCCTCCCCCCAAGTCCAGCGCGCTCACCCATCCTCCCCCCAGAGGCTTGACAGCTGGCACAATCCTATGGCCCTTTGCCATTGCTCTGTGTCATCGCCTGCTTCTCTCAACATGTTTCCTGTGACGTCAACAGGATATGTGACAACACAACTTTTTTGACCAGCACTATTCCCTTTGCTGCGTTTCTTGGTTTCCATCCTTGTTTTCTTTCCTTTTTCGGCCTCTCTTATTTTTTGCCGTTTTGGTCTACAGCCTCTTCGCAGTTTGACTTACTAACTCCGACGCGGCTATCAGTCTGTTCCTGGATGAGATTACGGCCAGGTGAGCGATCTGTGTGCACCTGGACGAGATTACGGCCAGGATGAGATCAGTTTGACTTACTAACTCCGACGAAGCTATCAGTCTAAGTGTCCAGCTGAAACGCGCGCGCGCGAGCGAGCGAGCGAGCGAGAGAGAGAGAGAGAGAGAGAGAGAGAGAGAGAGAGAGAGAGAGAGAGAGAGAGAGAGAGAGAGAGAGAATTTGTGAAAAGGGCCATCGTAAATAAGGCAGTGGGAGTGAGAGGGAGAGATGTGGCCCGCAGAGAAAAGACGGAAGTCGTCCAAGTGACCAAATAAGACATCGCAAAGGTTGACCCCCTGGAAGAAGGCCCTCTTATAGCTGTCGAAAGGTGGGGAGGGGGGAAGGCGCGGAAGGGCAGGCTCGGGTTGGTGGAAAGGGGGGGTGGGGAGGGGGGGGGGGAGGGGTTGGGGGGGTAGGGATCTGTTTTCCTAATGGCATCATGGACCACTCTCCACTCCGATCCCCATCGACTTCTATTGGGGCAGTGCCTGAGGTCGGGGTCCCAATTCCGCCCAACCTCTGGTCATAGCCGCTGATCCTCTGAGTGTACGGTCGGGGTCCCAATTCCGCCCATCGTCTGTTCATAGCCGCTGATCCTCTGAATGTACGGTCGGGGTCACAGTTCTGCTGCGCATCCTCTGTTCGTAGCCGTTGATCCTCTGAATGTACGGCCGGGATCCCGATTCCGCTCATCTTCTGTTCATAGCCGCCGATCCTCTGAATGTAGGGTCGGGGTCCCAATTCCGCTCATCCTCTGCTCATAGCCGTCGATCCTCTGAATGGACCGTCCACATCGGGGTCCCAACTCCGCCCTTCGCAGGTAGGCGCAGTCAGGCAAGGGAGACCTCGCCTCCTCGAGGGCGGGTTCTGTGAGGAAGCGTTGTATTCGAGAAGGAAGACCATAGCCCGCAACGCTGCTGCGCTTCACTCCCGGCAGTTCACTGGATAGATGAGACGTTAGTACCTTCTTCCCCCGCACACAACCTACGGCAATTATATCTGTATTTTTGGGGTATCTTTCAGTCTAAATAGTAAATACAGCTTTATAGTGACCGTGCGGAGTATTTGGGTAAAGAAGGTAGTATGGCATGGTGTCTCGGGTCGATCCCATCCCGCCTCAACAAGGGGGGTGAAGCGTGTGGATAAGGTTATAATTATCAAGAGGGGGGGAGAGGGGAAGATGGGGGGGGGTGATCAAGGGTCGGCCTTTATCCATGAATGGATAAACAGTGGATTACTTTTCATCGTAATGGATGGATAAAGAGTGGCCTTCCTTTCCCATGGATGGGGATAAAGGGCCTCGCTCCACCCTTATGCCCCTACAACGAGGGCAAAGCATGTGGATAAGGTCATAATTATCAAGGAGGGGGGGAGGGGGGGGAGGGGGGGGAAGGGGGGATCTAGGGCCGGCCTTTATCCATGAAAGGATATACAGTTAACTCTTTTTCATCATGATGAATGCATTGGATAAAGAGTGCCCTTCTTTTTCCATGGATGGGGGATAAAGGGCCTCGCTCCACCACGCAGGACGCCACTCACCACAGGGGCTGTTTGGCGAGTTTTGCTTCAAGGCTCCACCACCACTCACCGTGGTCTCTGAGTCAAAACTACCGTCTGCACCCCAACAAAACGCGCGGTCATTATTGCCGTATCTGGACTGAAAATTGCGCCAAATGCATCTAAAATGACCGGGCGTTGTATTCGGGTTAAGAGGGTAGCTTTTTCTTCGGGGGTGAAAGGCCGTGGTGAGTACTAACCACAGTTAACTTTTTTCTCCCCGCCTGCAACAGCGGGAATGTGGAGCCTGCGGTTGATTATTGAGGCTCCCCTAAAGAGTGTTGACTCCGGAGATTACCAGCCCTGTTCTGGACTTACCTGGACGGCTAGGCCGTCATTATGCAGATCGCGCAGCTCTCCATCTTCTCCCTTGAGTCCCCTAAAGAGTGCTAACTACTGTAGGGAGATCCCAGGTGGCAGTGAGGTTCGGAAATCTCCGGCAGCCTCTACTGAGAAGATGGAGAGGTGCACGATCTGCATATTGACGGCCGAGCCGTCCAGGTACGTCCAGAACAGGGCTGGTAATTTTACTGTTTCAGTTTTGCGGGAAGAGCTAGATAGTGGCGACAGAAACCATGCAGCTGACTGATTGTTTGGTCGTCGTCATGTCGTCCGGCCCCGTCATTGCGTTGACGTCAACACACGTTGAGGATGGCGTTCTCGGTTGACGTCATGTATTTTTAGGAGTCAGCAGACCTGAGAATTCGCACATCCTCCACGCACCCCTCTGGGCTGGAATAATGTGGAGCGCGGGTTAGGTAGTCCTCCCTCCTTTTTTTTTTTTTTCTTCTTCTTCTTCGCCCCCCCCCGCCCCCCCCCCCCCGCTAATCTGGGTCATCATATCTGTATCTGACCGCTTAAACAGGTGAGTGTACAGACAGGATGACCCAGGTTAGGGAAAGAGAGAACACAAAAAAAGACGGAGGAAGACTTAACAAAATAGCGTTGGTGTCTCGGCCGTTGCTCAGGATGATGGCCCGGAGTTCTATTTTAGGAAATTTAGGTGGTAGCACGGTATGCTAGCCCGTTGGGCTCCACCCTGTTTCCACAAAGGGCAAGGGCCTCGGCCCACGCCACTGTTTCAACGAACGAAGAAAATGCGACTGCATGTTCCTGCAATGATTGGCCAGATGCATGCATCCATTACCATTTAGAGGATGCATCTGACCACGGCACGGCGCACTCGTACATTTCCCCTGCTCCACATTATTCCAGCCCAGAGTGGTGCGTGGAGGATGTGCGAATTCTCAGGTCTGCTGACTCCTAAGGATAGATGACGTCAACAGAAAACGCCATCCTCAACGTGTGTTGACGTCAACGCAATGACGGGGGCCGACGACAATCAGTCAGCTGGGATGGTTTCTGACGCCACTACCTAGCCCTGAACACAAAGCTGAAAAAGTAAAATTACCAGCCCTGTTCTGGACGTACCTGGACAACTCTGCCGTCATTATGCAGATCGTGCACCTCTCCATCCTCTCAGTAGAGGCTGCCGGAGATTTCCGAAGTTCTTTTTTTTTTTTTTTTTTTTTTTTTTTTTTTTTTTTTTTTTTTTTAAGCTACATTTCTCTCTCTCTCTCTCTCTCTCTTTTTTTTTTCTTTTTTTTTTCTCCGTGATGCTTTCATTAATTTTCTCTCAATTTCGCCCTCACCATACCTGCCTACCACTACTCCTAATTATTGTCATACAGGGAACCCCGTAGCATTCCAGACAGAACCGTGTTCAGGAGAGAACATGCCGGCGGGGGCTGAGATTCGTCCTGGGGGCTTTTTCCAGAAAACAAAAACGGAAAAGGAAAAGGAAAACAGTTGTGCTTCAGGCTTTCAGCCAAAAGCGTGCTCCACGACCCGGGGCTAGGTCCCACTTGCACGAACGAATTAAGAGATACTGACCGTAGATTGCAAAGATCAACGGCCGAAATCTGCTAATTTGCACAAGTGGGACCTTGCCCCCGGATTCTCGGTTGTAAAGTCTCTCTAGGTGTGTGCCCTCTTCTCTCTGTGACACGTGGATCCTTGGCTCCATGGGACTCTCGACCTCACGACGGTCCCTTGGACCACGGGGATCACATGGCTGGGGAATCGTAATTCGGTACTAATTCCCCAATGCTTTGTCCCAGGACCATTTTTCACATTTTTCTAGCCACAATTTTGGCGACGGAATTGCGTCCCCAAGGGCCCAAGGGGGGTCTAACGAGGCCCTAATAATGGCTTCCATGCGGAGGAACAAGGTATGCATGGATGCAGAGGTGTGCAGCAGGTCGCTCATAAGGGTAGGTTACGGTGTTTACCTGAATAGAACGCCCTGTCATTATCGCTGTGGGAGGTACCCCAAATACAGCTATAATGACCGACGTATGTTAGGATGGTCTCTGGGAGTATGGGGGTGATGGTCCTGAGGGCCTAGCACACACAGTAGGACTTCCTGTACTCAGCTGTGGACATGATTGCGGTCAGATGCACACACGTTGGAACGTAATTGCAGTCAGATTCATTTAGCAAAGTGCTGGTGGTGAGCATGCCCTGCCAGGGAGACTATACTTGTGCACGTACAAAGGTTATATGGTATTCTTGACTTGGGGCCAGGTCCCACCAGCAAAGAGAGGATTGGATTAAACGCCTGAATGTGGAGGTGTATGAGGAGAGATTCACAAAATTGCGATTGATATTGCTTTTCTGCATCTCTGCGTGCTGCAGACGCTTTATCCAATCCTGTTTGCTACTTGACCTTGCCCCTGATGAGCCGGCGCCGTCAAGGAACTCTCCGTGCTCTTCCAATCTGATGGACTAAGGCATCAAATGTGCGTGTCTCGGTACCGCTTTCACCCGGCTATAATGTACTACGGTCATTATAACTGTATTGTCTGCAATTTTCCGTCCGTATACAGTGATAAAGACCGTACTCTCTTCGAGAAAGAAGGTAGCCCATATGGTCAGACGACTGCCAGCCTAGTGAACGCCTCGTCATTATCCCTGTATCTATACTATTCTATAGTCTGCAAGCTACCCCAAATACAGCAGCTGTATCTTTACTATTCTATAGAATGAAAGGTACCCCCAATACAGCAGCTGCATCTATACTATTCTATAGAATAAAAGGTAACCCCAATACAGCAGCTGCATCTATACTATTCTATAGAATGAAAGGTACCCCCAGTACAGCGCTATTTCCAAGGCCCGTAATGCCACAAAGGCCACTGATGAATTTTATCAACGGCAGGCTGGCCCCCAAAGTTGCAAAGTTTAAAGAGCCGCATCTCTGAAAAATAGTGCACGAAGGTACTGGTGGTTTAAACCAAAGTTGCGGCCTTTAAAGTTTGAAGAGCCGCATCTCTGAAAAATAGTGCGCAAAGGTACTGGTGGTTTCAACCACCAGTACTTCCTAGAGTCGTGCCCGTTAACGCGCCACAATTAATTTTAGGAAACGTAACGGGCTACTATAGGAGCGCCCAAATTCATCCGACAAGAAACGTTTCCACTCTTTTTTCTTCCGCGGGCGAAAGAACAAGTCCAAATCCTTGGCTATGGTGTCATCTAGCTAAGGAGGGATTTTCGTTCCACTATCGCAGCAGCAGCTGGAGTTTGGGGCATTTGACACGTAGTAGCAAACGTTTTGGTGATCAGCTTTCGGGGCACTAAATGTGTTTCTGACCCCATTTACAAGCCAACCAGGATGTATCTGGCTGCAATTAGGTCTAGAGAAAAAGAGTCAAGAAGTCCTAGTCTGAGTAAAACGGATGACGTTCTCAGAAAGTTCGAATGGTTCTCAGATGCTAACGACGATTCCCAGATCTTAAAGACTTTTCTCTAACTTAAAAGGTCCCTCAACGCACGGCACATGACACCGGAAAACAAAAGCAGGGTGCATCTGCCCACAGAACTGGGAAGATTCATCTGTTAGTATGAATAACAGCCAATGTAGCGTGCCACTCTCTGTGGCCAGATGCGGTTGCTTTTTGTCATATGTGTTCCTCACGGTGGTCTCATCCTCATTTTTCACTGACAGGGCCGCAGCACCATCATTACCTGTGGGCTTAATGAATGGGCCAATCAGGTACTGGTACGGCTCTTACCGATTTACATGGTAGGAGGTTTCTGATTTGGGCCTTGGCTGGAAGCCCACTGCCATTCCCTTTCACAGGGGTGATAGAGATAAGGAGGTGATCTGTGTCAGGAGGTTCAGACACTCCCATACATCCACAAACTTCCACTTCTTCTGATCTTCTTCTTCTTCTTCTTTTTTTTCTTTAAACAACAACCCGAGTGTAATATGTTAGGGGTGCGCACATACATCCACAAACTTCTTCTCCGTCCCAACCTGGTTATTGAGCGAAGCCCGACTGGGGCATGTTCAGAAAAATAGGCTCTGGAGTGTTGGTGGTTTGAATTGGGCATGAATATATGGTGAAATGCAGGCCAGGATCATGTTACAGTCTTGTCCGGCACAATGGGTGCCTTCAATTCATTCCAAGCTCCTTTTGGGTGTTTTATACCGTCTGAACAGTGCCGCAATGTTTCCACTTGAAAGGATTTATTCCAGCGCCCAGACCCGTTCATCCCACAAGGTCGCAGTGTGCGCGCAGCTGCGATTTTCAGAAGTAATCATGGTGGTTTAAACCACCAGTACCCGACCAAGGTGTGCCCGTTAAGGTGCTGGTCTTTCAGGGATATACTGGCCTGGCTGTGGCCAGAATGGATCCAGAGGGCCACACGGACTGGAGGAAGGTTCCCAAGTACTGGTTGTTTGCTGAGGACTGTGCTCCATCAATCAGATTGTAACCCATGTTGCTAAGATTACTCAGATTAAAAGACTCTGAGACAAGTGAAGTGTAATTGAGTAACTCAGGTTTTCTGGACAAGGCAAGTGGACTGCGACTCATGTCAGAGTAGTCGTATGGGAATGGGACGTTGCTGCTGCAACTACTGTGATCAAACATGTCACTTCTTTAACTTAGTGACATTACGTCGGGATGCCTTCTGACGAGCCACATTCAAAGAATCAGGTGCAGTCATTGGCAGGCTCAGAAGGCCGTGTAGAAGCAGACCGATAATCTGCCGTGCTCCGCTGGAGCCGCATTCGCTGTATCGGAAGATGGTAGCTAACAAAACATCACTTTGAAGTTGACCATCTTGCCAAGATCTGATTTTGGTACTATATTCTCCTCAACACCACTACCAGAGTTGGAAAGGTATGTGCTTTCGTTTGGAATGCTTAGCCCCCAACCTCATAATAGCAATGAAAGTTGAATCCTTTTTTGCACTACCGAATACACGGAGAAAGTTCAAAGTTGGAACTTTTTCTCAGCATGCGTGCCATGTGAAGTTCGTCTTCAACAACTTGTAACATAACATGGGAGGGATGCTCACACATTGCGTCTGATTCAACCTGCTAGTATGAGGAAGGACTATTGCTTGAGGGCGAAGGTGAAACCTTTGACAAGATCGAAGGGTCAGAGCAAGAGGAATGCTGAATAGTTATGCCGGATTTCGCATCGCTGTAAGGAATGTTATTGGGGGTCAAAGATAGACTCTTTAATACAATGGAGGGGCTAGAGCTCACAGCTGTATGTTTGGCGGAGACCAAGGGATGAGAAAGTTGGAGAAACTGGTCTCTGTCACTGCCAGGTTCAGCAATTTCGAGCTTGCTTTGGGGTGCAAGGTGTGACCTTGATCAAATGCAAAAGGCCAAAGCATCAGAGGCTCGGAGTTCACCAAGCAATAAGAAGGTATACCAAAGCGGATGGTCGTTGTGAGCATTGGATCCGATCGCACTTTTGAAAGAGTCTTTTTTAAGGGAGAATGAGAAAGAGGCGAACTTTTTGTGAGGGACAGGGACATATTAGTCTGTATTCAATAGGCTTCGAGTAAAGGGGCGTGTTTTGTCTATATCCAGCAGGCTTTTTTGACTGAAGGGGAAGTGGCACATTTGTCGGCCTTCAACAAGATTTAGCTGAAGGGCAGGGGTACACTAGTAACGTCAAGTTTTTGCTAGAGCTGTGTAGTGCGCAGATGATTAGAAAGTTCAACATAAAATGAGTTTTTACTCTCAGACAAGTCAAAAATTTTCGGCTGCGGACAAGTTTGCCTTGGTCCAGCAACTGATAAAAAGGGCAGTTTTGCGGAATCTGTACATTGACAACCTTTTCCCGGAATCAAATGAGAACCCACTTTTTGCACCAGATCTGGTGTTGAGTCGAGCCAGAAGCAATCGCTTCCATGAACCTTTCGGTGCCAGCAGCTTGCACAATATGCCACCACAGCTTGCTGACCTGTACTATCTTCTGTCAGTCCTTTCATGAATCTCGGCCCGAAAGTTATCATTATTTCTGGACACGGAGAAACACTATCAAGAAATTGCAGTCCATCAATGGCCCTAACTCAGGTGGTACACCCTGAAAGTGTTGAAACACTGTCCTAAATTGGAATCCCCTCTGGAATGAGGTAAATATAACACAGTAATTCTGAATTACCTGGGGACCTGGGGTCAGTCAGTTCCATCATGATGATATCAAGGTCTTCGCCCTTTTCCAAAGAAAAAAAGAAGAGAAAACTATGGCGCAGTCAGGGTTGGAGTTTGAAAATGCACTTGAGGCAAAAGGGCCTGTAATGGTGAATGTATATAACCGAGGTTTCGGGACAGGTGGGGTCCCGTGGGGGTGTGCTGTGTTCGCCGGATTGCCTGAAGTGCAATTTCAAACTATTAGTTACCCCAAAAAAGAAACAAGAAATGGCAGTCCCTGTGGCCTCCACATCTCTGCCTTATGGCGGCCCGTGCATGGAATGAGATGTACACTATCGTCTTCAACCAAATAGAACACCCGGTCATTATTAATGGCTGTATTTGAGCCAGCTTTCAGTCTAGATACAGGGATAATGACTGGGCGTTGTATTCGGCGGTAGGGCTGGTATATGATGAACATATATGATCCACCCCCTGACGAGCCGGTGCCGGCAACCAGCAATCTGCAGTTGCTACAGTGCTCCTTTTTTCCTTCTCTTTTCATTGGACTAATATTAGGAGATCCAGGTAGGTTTATGTTTTCTTGAAGGAAAAAGAGGGTTCAGCCTGGTAATGTAAAAAAGGTAAAAAACTTTTAAAAAGTAAAAAACTTAAAAAAAGTGAAAAAAGTTACATGTGTTCCGTGGTAGGTACCGGGGTGGTGCAAATGCCAAAAAGTGTATTTTCAAACTCGTTTTGTGTCTCCCGCGTAGTTTCCCGAAATTAAGAGGAGGAAATCACATGTTTTCTGTACATGCCCCACTATAGGGGGTTTAGGTTTTTTTTTTTTTTTTTTTTTTTT